AGTTTGGCATGCTGGTCTTCTCCATAAGCTTTTTTTTTACGGTGTATCTCGAAACATCTTTAAGATTATCGAATCCTTCCTTTCCAATCATAGTATAAAAGTTGTCCTTGATGGACAGCACTCTTCTTTTTATTCTGTAACCTTAGGGGTTCCTCAAGGTTCAATCCTTGGCCCTATACTCGTTTTAATTTACATTAACGATCATCCAGATTTTCTCACATCTAAGGTGGCATTGTTCGCTGATGATACTACCATTTATTCTTGTCACGATAAGAAGCCAACTCCCTCTGATTGCTTGCAGGGGGCATCTGAGCTCGAAAAGGATCTCACTTCTGCTACAGCATGGGGCTCACAGTGGCTGGTGAACTTTAATTCAGATAAAACTCAATTTTTTTCAGCCAATCGTTATCGCAATAATTTAGACCTTCCTATATTTATGAACGGTAATGTACTTGATGAGTCTCCTACCCTTCATCTTCTAGGATTAACTCTTACTTCTGATCTTTCTTGGAAACCTTATATCAAATCCGTTGCAAGATTAGCGTCTGCTAAAGTCGCTTCTCTTTATCGAGCTCGTCACTTTCTTACTTTGGATTCTATTATCTATCTCTTTAAATCTCAATTCCGGCCTTGCATGGAATACTGTTGCCATATCTGGGGTGGATCTTCTAATGATGCCTTTTCTCTTTTAGACAAGGTGCAAAAACGCATTGTAAACATAGTTGGACCTACTCTTGCAGCCAATCTTCAACCTCTGTCACATCGTCGAAATGTTGCTTCTCTTTCTCTTTTCTACAAATACTATAATGGGAACTGCTGTAAAAAGCTAGCGTCTCTTGTGCCGTCTACAAAAATTCATTCTCGTGTTACTTGTCATTCAATTAAGTCTCATCCTTTTTCTGTTACGGTTCGTAAGTGCTCCAAAAACTCTTATTTGTCTAGTTTTTTTCCTCGAACATCAGTTCTTTCGAATTCGCTTCCTTCATCTTGCTTTCCTGATTCATATAATTTGCAATCTTTTAAGTTGTCTGTCAATCGTTACCTTGCTCTACAATCTTAATCTTTTCTCTTCCAGTAACTTCCAACACTAATTAGTGGTTGCTTGCAGCCTTGTTGGAAGCGACGATGTTAAAAAAAAAATATATATATATATATATTTATATTTATATATATTTATATTTATATATATTTATTATTTATATATTATTTATATATATATATATATTTATATTTATATATATTTATTATTTATATATTATTTATATTTATATATTTATATATATATATATATATATATATATATATATATATATATATATATATATATATATATATATATATATATATATATATGTGTGTGTGTGTGTGTGTGTGTATATACATACATACATACTGCTTGAATTCTTTGTTTTAATGAAAATCGTTTTCAACACATGAATTTTTTTATGTGAGAATAGCCATAAGTTAGTCAACTTATGACTATTCTCACACTAAATCAACGCCTACCTTATTTCCTGAAATAAAACTGGTATATATGATAGATGTTGCAACAATTTATACTTTGATTCACTGATTTTCGCGATGGTTTTTTGACCTGCTGAAGGTGCGTTTTCTTGATGAAAAGTTTTTTTTTTCTTTTCTAAACCTGGTCATTTCTCACTATTGTCCAAAACTGGTCCAAAAGGTTACAACAGGTTAATGATTGTAGACCTAAGTTTTAGCCATAATTATGAAACGACGCACAAAATTCTTTTTATTCTTTGTAAATCGTTAAATGTTGCTAAAAAAGTTGCAACCGAATTTGTTTTTGTTTCATTGTTAGCAAATGTCGCGTACATTGTGCACACAACTTATTGAAACCCAAAACTTCATTCAAAATTTTGTTCACACTATCTAAGGAGATGTCTAGAGCTTCTACTAAATCTCTCTCTCAATTTATTGACAATCTTCCAAAAATATACGTTATTTTTTTGATACGATTTCTTCTGGTTGTAATGCACTTTTTGTACGTCCTTGACGTGGATCATCTTAAAAACTTGTACAACCACGTTAAGCATTTCATCTTTCTACTATTCTAATTGAGCGTGAAGAATCCTTATACACTTTTAATAATCTTTAATGAAATTGTTTTAGTGCTACGCATTCACTAATTAAGAAATCTTTAATTGCAAAATATTCAATTTTGTAGATGTTGCGGAACTAGAATAAAGATGTACTTACTAAAAGCAAAAAAACTTTGATATATTGAATACATATTCGTTTACCGATTTTTATTTTTTAATCTTAAACCAATAACTTCTTTGCTTTTTAACAAGATTAAAAGTTACTATGTTCCACAGTTGCTTTGAATGTTGCTCAGGTTAATAGTTTGAGTTACTCAAAAAAAAAAAGGTGCCTAATTATTTTGGCGCCTTTAATTAGGCAGATTAAGATTACAAGCTAAATGACGATTTACGAAAATGATTTTAAAAAAGCCTAATGAAACTGTCGAGTAAGCATTTACAATAATAAAAAAAAAGATAAAACAAAAAGTTTTTGCATGCTGATTTTATTCTCATTAATTCTTCTTATATCAGCTTCTAATTAGTTATCCTGAGCAATAACTTTATAAAACCGAAATGAGAGGAGAACAGTCTTTATGTTTATGAAGCTCAATTTCACTTAATATTTCAAAAAGTATACTTATAATGTTACAAAAAGTATTATATACTCTTCTTCCTTGATTAATACTTCTTGATTCATAACAAGAGATGCAAGCAAAATAATAATAAAAAAACGAGTTAGATAATATAGAAAAGTTTTAGCCTGTTCTTTTTTTTTATATTATAAAATACAACATTTTTTCTTTCAAATTTTTCTTTTAAAATACATTATAAATTAAAAAGAAAATTTAGTTGCTAAATAATAAGGTTAATTTATAGGAAGAAGAAACAACACAACAATCACAAGTTTTCTCCTAAATTTTTTTATTTAAAATATTGTTTTAAGAAAGTTAAATTTACTTTGTGACTTTAATTTGGTATTGATTGTATATTTAATTTCAAGAGGAAATAATTAAACTTGAAAAGTTTAATTATTTTACCAATTCCAATTTTACCACAAAAACTCAGTTGCTTACTTCAACCTAATTCCAATTTTACCACAATTGGAATTAGGTTGAAGTAAGCAACTGAGTTTTTTGTTGAAGTTCAAAAGGCACTACAAGCCCAAAGCTGTTACAAAAGTGAGATAAGTTTTTTTATTTAGACAGAGGTATAAAGTTTATTTATCAACAAATAGAGCCACTTTAGATGTAAGATTGTCAGGAAGATCATTAATGTAGATAAAAAATAACACAGGACCAAGTATAACCATTTTAGGTACTCCAGAAGGTACTGGAAACGAAGAAGAGTGTTAGCCTTCGAGGATGACATTAATAAAACAATTAGAAAGAAATGATTTGATAACCTCAAAAAACTTTCTCAGATACGTCACATGAAGCAAGCTTATGGAGAAGACCAGCATGCCATTACAGTTAGCAAGTCGGCCTTAAAAGGAGAAGTTCAAAAACCATAATGATTGTCAGGGAGTAAAATATTAGACTGGAAGTTGGAATGTTAGAAATTTGTTGATAAATTACCAAAGACTTTGCTTATAATAGAGAGAAGACTGACTGCATAGCATTTGGAGGGGACAGGTGTCAAGATTTAGATTCAGTCAAGCACTTATTAAACAGTTTAGTAAATATTAAAGAAACTTATGGAGAACACTTTTGTTTTTGAACAGAATGTCAAAAACAAAAGTGAAGAATAATAAGTTCTATCTTGACCAGAAATTACAGAAACATGTATAATAGTAAAGAAACATATATATTACAGAAGCAATCATTCTAGAAATCAGAAGAGAACAAATACATTTGGTTTAGGAGGATGGAGAATATTTGGATAAGAATAAACATATTTGGTTTAGGAGGATGGATAAAATAATGATAAACATAAGTGCTGAAAAAATAAGTACTGGTTGTACTGCTTTGTTTTCTGCTTGATATAGTAACGGTATTTGCCTACAAACTTCATTAGTAGCTGCAATCTACAATTGAAGATTGGGATACTTAAAGAAAACATCAGGCAAAAAATTATAAATATTCTTAAAGGTAAGATATTCTGTATTTACTTTAATAGAAAATATATACAGAATATCTTACGAGTGAAACAGATTGAAGAAGACTTTAACTAACTGTTTTTTCTAAAAGTGATAACAGTCAGTGTTACTCACATGATATAGATGGCATTGATGACAAACAGCTAGGTATTGTTCAGTCAGAAAGGCTTCAAAAGTAGTGACCATACAAGTCTGATAACATGCAACAAAACATAATGCTAGTGGCCAGGGACAACAAGAAAAAACCTAAAAAAAGAATACTATCCTAATAAATCTCCTCTCAAAATAAAATTAAGAAATATAACGCATATTATAGTATTATGTTTAGACACACATCCCCTATGTATATTGTTTATAAATGTCATAGTTAGTCAAATTTGCTGCTTAGAATATTACACTCCCTTAGTGTAACTAAGAATTATACCACTAACTATCAATATGTTTAAAATGTCATACCCCCTATGTACTACCAGTATTATATATGTTATATATATAAAATACCACAATTCCAATGTATATTGTTTAAAAATTTCATAGTTAGTCTTATTTGCTACTTTGAATCTTAGATGTAAATAAGAAATCTTTTGTCAAATTAACAGTTTTACATTACTTAAAATATCACACACACACACACACACACACCCATATATATTGTTTATATATGTCATAAAAATTATTTGTATTTTCTGCTATGAACTATAAAATATCACATCCAGCAAATTAATTTAGAAGTATATCACTAACTATCACTGTGTGTTAACAATATCAAATCCCCCATGTCCTTTGTTTATAAATATCATACTAATTAGTTGCACTTTTAGTTTAAAAACTTAGAATATGACATTTCCTTATTATAATTAGGAAATATATTACACACTATAAGAAAAAAATATTTTGAATATCACATCCCCCATGTATATTGTTAATTAATGTTATAAAAATTATTTGTATTTAATGCTTAGAACCTTAGAATATCACATTGCCTTAAAGAAATTAAGAAATATATGGCATGCTACCGGTATTATATGTTTAGAATACTACATCACCCATGTATTTTGTTAAAAAGGAACAAACTAGATTGTGCTTAGAATGTTAGAATATCACATCACCTAAATAAAATTAAAATATACACTATTTGAAGTTTAGAATATTACATCACCCATGTATTTTGTTTAAAAACGACATACTGGATAGTGCTTAGAATGTTAGAATATCGCATCACCTTAATAAAACTAGAAAATACACTATTAAATGTTTAGAATATTACATCACCCATGTATTTTGTTAAAAAATAACAAACTAGATTGTGCTTAGAATGTTAGAATATCATATCACCTTAATAAAATTAAAATATACACCATTTGAAGTTTAGAATATTACATCACCTATGTATTTTGTTAAAAAACAACATACTGGATAGTGCTTAGAATGTTATAATATCACATCACCTTAATAAAACTAGAAAATACACTATTACATGTTTAGAATATTACACCACCCATGCATTTTGTTAATAAACAACTTACTAGATAGTGCTTAGAATGTTACAATATCGCATCACCTTAATAAAACTAGAAAATACACTATTAAATGTTTAGAATATTACATCACCCATGTATTTTGTTAAAAAATAACAAACTAGATTGTGCTTAGAATGTTAGAATATCACATCACCTTAATAAAAATAAAATATACACTATTTGAAGTTTAGAATATTACATCACCCATGTATTTTGTTAAAAAACATCATTCTGGATAGTTCTTAGAATGTTAGAATATCACATCACCTTAATAAAGCTAGAAAATACACTATTACATGTTTAGAATATCAAATCACCCAGGTATTTTGTTAAAAAACCAACATACTAGATATTGTTTGTTAAAAAACAGCATTTTTTCAACGTTCTTGTATTATTCGGACGTACTCGGTACTCTACTAAGTTCTACTACTTCAAAACGCATCCTCGTTTTCATTATTTCTACTGGTGCGGTGATATTCTAAGGTGCGGTGATATTCTATTACAGTTCTCATGCGTCCATAGGGCTATTAAATGCTACCTCATCTACAGGAAAACGGTGTGTTTCATCAGTGACAAGTAGGGAAAAAGGAGTCATAAAAACAATTTTATGTGCATGTAGTTCTGTTGGTCATTATGTACCACTCATGATGATATTTAAGTGCAAAAAAAATAAATTATTACTCACAGATAATGCTCCAGTTGGAACTTAAGAATGCTCAGAAAATAGCTCGGTTAATACTGATTTATTTCTTGAATATATACAACATTTTGTTAAACATGTACGATGACCATCAACGAAGTTTAACTTATATTTGACGGTCATCGTTCTCATACCAAAAGCTTAAAACTTATAGACATTGCTCGTGACAATGGATTGTTTTTGCTATCGCTACCACCACATAACTCATAAACTTCAACCATTGGACCATGAATTATTTAAGCCTTTGAAATACTTTTTTAATCAAGCATGTATGACATGGATGCGAAACCATTTAGGAAGATGAATTCAAACAGAAAATCTTGGAGAAATTTTTAATGAAGCATATTTAAGAGCTGCTAATAAGGAAAATGCTACTTCAAGTTTTAGAGCAACTGGAAATATCCCATTTCATCTGTATTTGTTAGAAAATGAATATCCAAGGACATCTTTGAGTGATAATAATAAAATTATTTATTTATTTATTTTTTCTTTTTTTTTTTTTTCTTTATTACAATCATCATTACTATCTCTATTACAACTTTATGTGAAAAAAACGTAAGACATAAAAAAGAAATAAATAATATTTACAATAACGGCTTCGTTAACAATAGAGAATTAAATAAAAATTAAGAATAAAGAATGCCAAAGCTCGAAGATGTCCGTGAGGTCTTGTCGCAGAGAACCGCTGGAATTAAAACGCTTTAAATAAATGTTCGTCTGTATAAATTTGTAAGTTCATTTTTATTGATTTTTGTAAATGTTTATTTGCTTTTGAATTGGATCTATTTCAATAAATAATTATAAAAACTGTTGCAATACTTTATCAAAGAATAATTAAAAATAATTAATATACTTCAGTATAATTATTGATGTGGTTTGATGACGTCATAGTGTTTTGGTGATGTTAATATAAATCCGTTTTCATCGATTAGATTAAAAAAGTAATAATAATAAGTTGAACATTTCTTGCTTGCATTAAAATTGTAAAAAATAACATCTGGGATGGACATTTTTGTTGATAATAAGCTCTTGTTCTAATAAAGTCTTTTTTTTTTTTAAAGTATATATCGTGTTTGCATCTTTACCATACAAGCCATCATAGGTGGTATCACCGAATCCTTTTTGTAATCGATAACAATTGTCTTTTTTACATTGGTTTTTATTTTAAGCTATACACAAACACACTATACGCATACACTTATACGCATACGATGAATAAAATTACGATAAATAAAAATCGATGAATAAAATTACGATGAATAAAAATGAATAAAATTACTATGAAAAAAAAAAAAATAAAAATACGATGAATAAAAATCACCGACTTTTTTTGCTAACTTGAATTTAAAGTTTTTTCAGAAAAAGAAGATAAAAGCAAAGAATAATGAAAAAAAAAAAAGCCAAAAGTTTTAAGGTCAAGAGTTTTAAAGCTAAGCCAAACATTTTCAGTTCCGCTGTTTCAAGGTGGATTCATTTTCAATAAGGCTTCTTGTTAATTTTTTAAATTACTAGCTTATGGGGTGTTACTCAAAATTTTATAACTTTTGAAATATTATAGATAGTTTCGTTTTGTAAAAAGAATTTAAAACCATTAAAATGTTTTATTTTTTAACATTTAATAATATATCAAAACTTTCTTTGATTTTTGAATAGATGTGCAGAAATGAAGAACTTATCTGATTTTAAGAAATGTTACTTTTCAGCAAAATAATCAAAAAAATAATATATTTTTGTTGTTTCATTTGTAATATGATCATTCTTAGAACATTTTCAAAGCAAAAAAATTTTACTTAAATTGTATGTGAACCGATACAAATATTATTAAAGTCAGACAACAAAATTGCAGAAAATTACAGACAACGCTTTTCAAAAAAATAAAATACAAAATTTATATTTTGTATGTTATTTATAGTTTTATTTTGTTTTATTTACAAAAATAAAACAAGAGTGTGATTTGGTAACGCATTTAAAGTTATGTGATGTAACATACGTCATTGCTTCAAAGTGAAAACAAAAATTTACGCATAAAACAAATTTAGTGCTAAACATGCCAAGTTTGAAAATATATTTGATTACATAGCCGAAGGTAAAAAAAATAATTTTTTTGATTTCATACACATAAAAGGTTGAATTATATATATATATCTATATATATATATATATATATATATATATATATATATATATATATATATATATATATATATGTGTGTGTGTGTGTATATGTATATATATATATATATATATATATATATATATATATATATATATATATGTTGTCAGGTCAGGAGTAAGGTCTTCATGATCATCCTGCTACTGGTAACATGTAACCCAGTGCAACCTGTTCCATGTTCTGCTGCCTTGCAGGATTTGCTATCTAAGCAAAGGCTGGAAGGAGTGTTCTTCCTGTCATCAGTACTATCTTATATCAGTCATGCCTATAGTAATTTTTTATTTTTTATTTTTTTTTTTTTTTTTTCTCCCAAATATAGTTGGAGGTGCCTTAGTTACTGTATTAGCTCACCTGTAATCTACGTTATATGTATGTTTGTGTTCTGTCTGAACCTCTGGCGCGGTGTTCGCTCACCCGTAAGTTACTTTATGTTTATGTTTATGTTTTTTATGTTTTTTTATGTATGTTTGTGTTCTGTCTGAACCTCTGGCGTGGTGTTCGCTCACCCGTAAGTTACTTTATGTTTTTTATGTATGTTTGTGTTCTGTGTGAACCTCTGGCGCGGTGTTGACTCACCCGTAAGTTGATTTATGTCTATGTTTGTTTATGTTCTGTTTATACTCTAATGCAGCGTGAGCTCAGTAACTAACTTCTTACTCCAACTACAAAACGTACACTCACCTTAGACTCCTGTATTTTGTTAGATGCAGTGTTTTTCCTAATGCACTTCCAAAATGTCATGCCTGGTTTTCTCAAAGTACTGTTGCGGGAAGTAACTCCTTTTAACTACTCCAGGTCAGGTCAGGATAATCGAGATCAATCTTGCTACTGGTATCACGTAACCCAGTACCACCTGCCACAAGCCCTGCTGCCTTGCAGAGTGTGTTCTTCTTATGCAAAGGCTAGGAGAAATAAACTCCGACTAAAAATTCCCCTGCCTTGGGGCTCTTGGTTGAGTAAAGGCTAGAGATGGTGTCTCGATAAAAACACTCATCTTGGGCAGATGTTAACTGCATTCAGCTAAACATCCCCTGCCTTGGGGCTCTTGGTTGAGTAAAGGCTAGAGATGGTGTCTCGATAAAAATACTCATCTTGGGCAGATGTTAACTGCATCCAGCTAAACATCCCTGCCTTGGGGCTCTTGGTTGAGTAAAGGCTAGAGATGGTGTCTCGATAAAAATACTCATCTTGGGCAGATGTTAACTGCATCCTGCTACTGTCTTGTAGAAGGCCTCCTAGGCAAAGACTTTAGGGGTAAGCAGAAAAATTCTGCTAACCAGCCTCGAACCCCTTCTTCATCTATTAGGCTGGCGTAGATGTAACCTGTGTTACATTGTTTCCTGCTTAGGATGATGAATGCTGGATCTCCTTGACTCTACTCATAGAATTTTGCTTATGCCTCCTTGATAATGGCTATGCAACTCTTCCTGTTATCTCCATATGAGGGTAGAGCTCTAAAACTCAGTTTAATGGTTCTGAGGCCGACTGGTAGTAAGGTTTCCCGAACTCTGTGGTAGCTCTCAGAGAGGCTGATTCCATCAACAGCTGCAAAATATCAGAGTATTAACAGTGCCATGTTGCGCATGGATGGTGTCCCTGTTAATGCTTTTGGTGTGCATTGTCAAGGCCACATAAGGAGCCCTATGTCACGGCTTAGGGTTAATTAACAGGACTGAGACAACTGCATAGCTCATTGATTAGGAGGCTGTGCTCTATCTATGAATGTGTCAAGTTCTCATTAAACCCAAATCATGACCAAAGTAACCAAAAATTTAAAACCTAAAAAACCATCCCCACCACCTAAATATTTTAATATATCTTTTACAAATATTCGCGGTCTACGAAGCAACTTTCCATCAGTTGAGTCTTACCTCCTGCAAAATTCACCAGACTTGCTTGCACTCAGTGAAACAAATTTAAGTTCTGCAATTCCTTCTTCAGATGTCAGTGTTGATGGGTACTATCCTTTGATTCGTAAAGACTCCAATAGTCACATGCTAGGTTTAGGGGTTTACATACGCATTAATTTCCCTATTTGTCGTGAAATCAGGTTCGAATCCTTTGACCATTCTTTTATGTGCTTTCGCCTAGCACCTCTTCACTCTATCACCTTTCTCTTCATTCTTTATCGTTCTCCTTCTTCCCATGATTGCACTCTTTTAGATGTTATCTCTGATCAAATTGACCATGCCCTCTCTCTTTACCCCTCTGCCAATATTGTTGTTGTTGGTGATTTTAATGGCCATCACACTGAATGGCTTGGCTCTAACACCACTGATCCTGCTGGCACTAAAGCCTTTAACTTCTGCGTTTCTCAATCTCTTACTCATATAGTTAACTTTGTGACTCGTTTTCCTGACAACCCTAATCATTTACCTTCACTCCTTGACTTATGTCTTGTCTCTGACCCTAGCTTAAGTTCAGTTTCTCCCTTTTCTCCCTTAGGCGGTTCTGACCACGCAATGATCTCTGTAAATCTTTCTTCTCGTACTTCTTTTTTGGGCTCACCTTATCATCGCACCACCTACTACTACCCTAAAGCTGACTGGGATTCCTTTCCTGATTTTCTTCGTGATGGTCCTTGGGCTGATGTTTTTTCTCTCTCAGCTGACAAATGCGCCTCCTACGTAACCTCCTGGATTCAGGCTGGAATGGAAGCTTTTATTCCTTCTCGTCGGTTTCAAGTCAAGCCTCATTCTACTCCATGGTTTTCTCCTTCTTGTGCGGCTGCTATATCCAATCGTAACCATTTTTTTCATCTTTTTCAAAAGAACAACTCTCTTGAGAACAAACGGCTATTTATTATTGCAAGAAATCGATGTAAAAAAGTGCTTTCTGATGCTAAACTCCATTATTCTCAGTTCACTAAATCTCGCATCTTATCGCAGAAGTTAGGCTCTAAAGACTTTTGGAAAATCTTCAACAACATTGTTAACGAGGGTAGATCTAACATTCATGGGACTGATCTTGTTACCTCTCCCAGGGATAAGGCAGAACTGTTTGCAAAGAACTTTTCTTCTAATTCCACTCTTGAATCTTATGGACATTCTCTTCCTTCCATTCCAGTCAAACAGGTTGACCCATTGTTAGACATTCAAATCACTCCGGCTTCTGTTGCTAAAGTCATATCTCAATTAAACTATTATTTTATATATATATATATTATATATATATATATATATATATTATATATATATATATATATATATATATATATATATATATATATATATATATATATATATATATATATATATATATATATACGCACATACATACCCAGCGGGCACAGACGTCAATCAAACGTCTTAACTAGGTCGCGCCGTCTCAGACTAAATTAGGACGTCCTAAAGACGTCCGGTAAAGACGTCTATGTTAGGACGTTTATGTGACGTTAATATAAAGACGATATTAGGACTTCCATATTTAGACGTCCTATTGACGTCGCATAGACCTACATTAGACGTCCTAATTACCTTAGAAATAAGTAGAAAAATTATAATCAACTTGGCGCATATAATTTTATATGCTAACTCGGTTAATTAAATGTCTACTTGTTTTGGTTGATTATTTTGAGATTATTAATTTTGTTTAGTTATTTATCGTTTAAAGATATTTTTTAATTTTCTATATTCTATACTCTATGATCTATAAACTATAATCGATACAATATTTAAATAAAAGAAAATTGAGTTTAGTTATTAAGTGTAACTAAGTTACAAGTATAATAAGGGAATTTTAACAAAACTTATGTTAAAATTTTTGTTAAAATGTCTTTTGTCAAAAGACATCAAAATTGCACCACGACTTTTCACTTTGTGTTTTATAGAATAGTAATGATATTTTGTGTGTCTATGTTATATATATTATATATATATATATATATATATATATATATATATATATATATATATATATATATATATATATATATACATATATATATATATATATATATATATATATA